GTCGGCCAATCAGAGAGCAAGCGCGATGCCTTTCCTCAGGCCTGCGGCCGGGCGAACACTTCAGAGTTTTTACGAGGCGGTTCTCGCGAATAAAAGAGTCACTCCCCGACCGGCACGCCGGAACCGTTAGGAGTCGGATGAAGTTTATTTTAGCACGTTCAACATCGTTTTACGCGGGTTGGGAGGGGTTGTTTCCGGGACCTGCCTCCCCTCTCTCATCCAGACATAACAGCAAATTCGGCTTCGCAGAAGCCGGCCCTTTTTGTGTGAAATATCCTCCTGTAGGCTGCCATCCCCGTCAATTCGCCGTCCTCTTCACATGATCGACATGCACATTTATCGATCGATATCTCATTTAAAAGCGGCGCGAACGCGTTATCTTAGTGATAAACAGGGTGTGCTTATTTGCAGCTATTAGCATGCCTCATGAATGAAAACATGTAAACTGCCATGACAGAGGGATTTCAATTCAAGCTTCATTTTTCACTTGATGAAGGAGCCGTCGAAGAAGTCGGTTTGATAGAACGTCCCAGTCGACAAGTAAACGACATCCATGAAAACCCATCAGCCGGCCTTTGTTCGTCCGGAAGCGAGAGTATAGTGTCTAACTTGATTCAACACTTAAGGGGTGAGGGCTACAGCGTTTCGCCCCCATGTAACCAATGCAATAACGTCATCATAAATGATTCGAACTTCGTTGAGGAGCGGGACACCTTTCACGGCAGTTTTATCAGCCGGACTCAGCAGAATTCAGATCAAGATGATGCTAGCAGAATTGAGGCCGAGATTGAAGGAACAAATCCGCCTAATAGGACGGAGGGTCGATATCGCATCATCCTTGATTACTTCTACGACGCAGATAAGGGTCAGCAACCAGTTGAAGAAAATTCAATCAATAAGCTTATTCGACTCCTGGACACCTCTCAAGAAGACTATGGAAAAGCTGGACATGCGGCCGTCCTGAAAGAGCTTAAACCACTACTAAGGAGTATTTTCGCCTATCTGATGAATTTGAGGAACCGCAGAGCTCCAAAGCCCGTTCCCCGGAGGGTAAAAGTTAACAAGGACCCACTAGAAAAGGGGGTTTCAAGCGATCATGACGCTAACTTGCAGAAACTTAACCTAACTTTCGAGGACCTGGGATCAGACAGTTCAAAATCATCAGATTCGGAACTGGATCGCGTAGTTAATATGGTGGTGAAAATGCGTGAATCAGAGCGGCTTATGTGCAAACCGGGTCAGGGATTGCCATCACTAGGTAAGCTGAAGGGCACTAGTGACGAAGACCCAGGGGATTCTGACAGTAGCCATTTCAGTGGCAGAGAGAAGACGATGTCTACCTATTCAAGGAGTCTGTCCGTGTACGCGGACGACTATGCTGTGGGCAGGTCTCCGGTCCAACGCGCATCGGACGACCAGAGAACAACGCTCGGCGTGAGTGAACCTCACCTCGAAGGAGCGTCAGAGCATAGGCATCATACTCCCCGGGCACCATCTCCCCTCAACAAAGAGATGGAGTGTGTTGATGAAGATGGAACCGATGACCAGGAAACTTTGGCCTGTGTGCGTGACCCCCATGCCAAAGCAAAACAGGGCCTGGACCCTCTGAAAAATGCCGTCTGTGAGGACGCTTCATGTGTCTCGGGTCCGCTGAAGACATGGAGTAGCGATGGTGGCCGTCAGGATGCCGGATCTGCCATGTCTACTAACACAGCGGATTCGCATTCAGTGGAACTTGCCATTGGTGGGGTCATGGACTCCAAGACGGACACGCCAGGTGGGCTTGCTAGCTCCCAGCCCCTGCTAAGGACGCCGATGGAGCACAAAAAGGAGAATGCTGGAAAAGAACTTACGGTGATTATCACCACACCCGAACTCTTGGGCAATCAAGCGACTTCTCCCCTTCCCCTATCTCACACAGAGGCCTCACCTAATGTCGATACAGTTCCACATTCTGCCGCCCATCCCCTCGAGA